CAAGCTGAATCCTTGGGTTCCTTTAAATCAGAGCTAGATAAGATTTTAACAACTCTGAGCTATTAGTTAAAGTTCTCCCCAAGCTGGCTCGATGGGCTGAATGGCCTCCTCTCGTTTGTATAGTTCTTATGTTCTTATGAAAGACAAGGAAACCGCTCTTAATTTGTCTTATCCGTTACATCTGTATCATGAAAGAAACATGTTAAATAGGAAAACGCGAAATTTCGCAATTTGATTTTTTTTCCATATTGTTCAACCCTAAATAGATATCTGTTCATGTTGAGTTTTTCAGAAGGGGGTGAGGGAATCTGACAATATTGAAGGTGGCACCCCCCCTGTCTTCCCCATTTCTGATGCCCCTGCCCTCTATTCACTCGGACCTGGACAAAAGACACCATTATGGAATTGTACAATACCGCTCTATACCACCAGGTGGCATAAAATTGCAAAGCACCACTGAAACTTTCAGGACAGAAGCATACATTCTGCTGACGTTTGTTCCCTGTTTATTTTACAACCATGAATACCAGGGGGAACGGAGGAGCAACACACACACACACACAACTAAAAGAGGAGCCGACGAGTCCAACAGAATAACTAACCTAGATACCACATTCTTCACATGAGCACATGCCATTTGCAAAGAAATATATCGAGAATGGATGTTAGACAGTTTGACATACTGGGCAGAATGGGGCTGTGTGTGCGCTCCTGGGTGTGGGGGTGCATCTTTAATGATTACAGGAAATGGTTGGGTGCTCTCATATCTTTCAGGAAGTATTTTGTAGGTTAAGACAAGCAGTGAGGAATGTGAATTTGTTTATAGACGAGTGTGTGTGTGTGTGTGTGTGTGTGTTAGAGAGAGAGAGTCTTTACATATAGTTATGCATCCAATTTCATTAACAGTCCTCAATGGGGCTTGGGGGGGGGGGAGCGCAAGTTTCACTAAAACATTTTTATTCTAATTGTTCCTTGTCAAGATTATCCAGTACATGTTTTTTTTTTTTTTTAAACCAATCTAAAGTTTACAGGTGCTGCTTTCGCATAAGCTCTGCATACATTCTTCTAGCCAGTCACAGTCACTCTCGCCCTTGTTGCTGGACTCATTCATATATATGTTTGTGAGAAAATGACTGAGGAGGAGAAAACCAAACAAGAACTGGTCACCAAAAGACATTCACCTTCTGCTCTTAGGAAATATTTTAGATTCCACAGAGACAATATTGAGCAAAAGCAAATGACCTGTCAGCACCACTTTGTGTCTGGTGGCCCAACTCACAGCAACACGGCCAACTTATTTGATAGAACATTATTTCTCAGTAGAGTTTATTTGGCTATAGTTTGAGTAAATTTCAACTGCTTTTTTTTGCTTTATAAACATCACAATATCTATCACAAAGAATTCACAACCAATATCGCACGGCTCTAGTAGAAGTTCATAAGCATTACTCAGAGGCGCTCTGAAATATGATGTCACATATCACATGACATGTGGCCCCGCCCACCACTGTCATACCTGCTGGTCTGTCTGCATCTTGCGGCCCACCACCCGGAAGCTGTTACTGGCAGGGCTGTGGTAGATCTGCACACGGCTGATGGTTTGAGGGCCGGGTCCCGCCGCCACCCACTTCTTACCGGCGTCATCGTAGATCATGACAGTGGCCCGGGCCTGGCAAATGCTGGACTCGCTGAAGGGGGGAGGGATGGGGGAAGCAGACAGGAAGACCATCAATGTGGAGGAAAACGAGAGAGTGACAGAGGGAGAGAGACGAGGGATGCAGCAGGAAGGGAAGAATGAGAAAGAAAATAGGGAGGAAATATGTGGAATTTAAAAAGTCCGTTTCAGTCTGGGGTATAATTAGAGAGTGTAGAGAAGGTTTGCGATTAACCCCCTCAGCAGGAACCTCCAACAAGGTCAAGTCAAGCAGGGCTTTGCACATCAACCAAGCACAGTAACATAGCATGTAGTGGCAGAAAATAACACGTCCCAGGACTGCGGGGCCACACACACACACACGCACACACGCACACACACACACACACACACGCACGCACGCACGCACGCACGCACGCACGCACGCACGCACGCACGCACGCACGCACGCACGCACTGAACCATGAACACAAGCAGAAAAACTAACTTATGTTTAGGTGTCAGATTACTTTATAGAACTCAAAGTTTGCCCAAACTCTTGACGTTTGCAGCGCCAGACTTTCCCATGTCAGTTCCTTAACAAAATCGGGCCCTATGTAACTTAGCAAATAGCAAATTAGTAGTAACAAATGTGACCAACATAAATTGATATTTAAAAATCAACCGGCAAGTCTCATGACTATGTAAAAATCACCACCATGAAAAATCACGATTTTTAATTGAATTTATCCTCCTACCCCAATTACTTACACATACATATATTGTTACTGTCTAATGAAAAGCATGTATGTCCACTTACTTTGGGCGTATTCCGTCTATAGTACATTCTCCTCCATCTACAGATACTGCTTGAGATTTAGCTGATCAGTGAAAAGATGTTTTATGAAGTCATCTATTGAACTAGCATGTATATTTGTACTAGTTAACATTTGTATTCATGATGGTTATTTGTATGGATTACTTTATATCGCTAATTTTAACAATTAGATAGCTAGCTAGCCAATATCATCGTTAATTGTGAATTCCAAGTGCGATTAGTTTGTATCTTGACACTGACCTATGTGTCTCGCTAACATTCCAAGTATGTCCATTTAAAACGTTACACCATTCACTGACGGCTGTGTAAATATAGGTTTCTATTTGTGGTGTCAAGGGTGTGCAAGTTTTTTTTTGTAAAGCAGTTTCTGAGAAAGTAGTTTCACGCTCTTAAAATAATGTGTTTTTGGAGATATGCGTTTTTCCCATCACACAGTGATGAAATATGGCGGCAGTTGATTCATCACATGTTGGAGTGTTTGCTGCTTTCTGTGGAACAAACGGCGATAACAGGGAGGGGGCTTGTTTAACACTCTGCGTGTAAAGGCTCCACCGCACTGTCCTGACACCCGCAGACATGTAGTGCAGATGGGAGAGAGTTAAAGGTGGTGGGGGCAACAGACTATCATTCCAACTAGAACGAAGATCAACAATGGTGTATGACAAAGAAGGGAAGTAGCCCCGGGTTCCTGCGATGACGAGGCAGGCAGCCGACAGGCCCTTAAAATGTGGGGGCACACATGTGAAAATGGCTGTGAGCGAGGCGTTCATGCCCCCAAAGTAAAGCAGGCATATTCAGCCTCATTCATGTCTTGGTCGGTAGAAGAGCTAGAATCTATGGCTTGCGAAAGAGAGGCTTCCGCAACCAGCACTAAGAAGCCTGGTGTGAAGATAAAAAGTAACCAGATAACTAGTTGTTACGTTTAACACGTTACGACACTGAAGAGGTCCAAACCAACTCCGCAGAGTTAGAAAGGGGTGGAGCTTGAAGGCTAAGAACAAAGTGCACTAAATTCATTAAAAGAACCAACAGAAAGATTGTCCTATTGTGAAACTTTATACTCTAGCAAGATAAAGGCTAAATAAAGCTACCTTTACTTGGGGCTGCAATTAAACAGGTTTGTTATTTGATTGGATGCAGAAAAGGGACCCAAAGCCAGCTCTGGCACTATGAAGGAGCAGAGACACACCAGAGCGTTTGAATCTACAGCCTCCCATTCCAGGACAGCCGTGACATAATCGCCGGCTTCCTGTGACACAGCACTGGCTTGCAGGCCCTTCCTGATCGCGGCACGACCAAATAAGGACAGGCTGAGAAATCCAGAAGGCAAAGGCACTCGCACACTGACTCAACATGTACACACAGGTCCAGATGTTCAGCAAAAGACGACAAGCGAGATTTAAAACATAATAAACAATTAAAAACAAGAAAATGACCAAGAAGGGGTGGGAGAGCTAAAGGAGACAGATGTCAAACAAGACATTTTACATTTTTAGTTTTTTGATCGCCATTACAGATTTTTAAAAACCCAAGTTTCCCCTTGAGGAGACTGAAAAAAATGGTCCCCACAACGACAGGTTTTTAATTACATTGTGGCGACAATGTAATGTCTACATGACCCACGTCCACAGACAGACACAGACACACAGAAGCATGCACACACCTAAAACCTAAAACACAACTGTCCAAATTAGTTGGGTTTTGCAAGTGGGTCAAAGTGCTTTGACCCCCCCACTAAAAAAATTGAAACATACACATGATACCCAAACTGGGTGTACATTTCTAATAGCTGCTCTTCATCCACCCATCCATCCATCCATCCTCTATAACTACTTGTCCTCTCCAGGGTCACAGGGGGTCTGGAGACTATGGGTGCAAGGCAGGGAACAGGTACTCTGCATCACATTTGCAATTAGAAAATACGATAAGAGAGTCAATCAAACAATGTTTAATCAAAGCGACAGGTGCAAAAAACAGAAACTGCATAAAGTAGATTGTCTGGAAGGAGGGAGACGCCCCATGACTAGGCATACCGTGGAAGAGCAAACACAGGGCTCACGGTGAGAGTGCAGGGTGTGTCATGACTGCCTGCTCCTTCTGCTACTTGGGAGTTAACAGGAAGCCACATTGTCACTGAAGCGATTTCAGAAATGTCTTGGATGCAGCTGCACAGATGTGCCGACAAGTATAGTCAGGCCCGCTGATGGCCCAGTGCGCTCCCTCTAGACGGGCCCGGCGCGCTCCCTCTCCATAGCCCTCTCACTCTCCATAGCCCTCTCACGCTCCCTCTCCATAGCCCTCTCCCGCTCCCTCTCCATAGCCCTCTCACTCTCACTCTCCACGGGCCCGGCGTGCTCCCTCTCGGTAGCCCTCTCACTCTCCCTCTCAGTAGCCCTCTCACTCTCCCTCTCAGTAGCCCTCTCACTCTCCCTCTCGACGGGAGCTTTCCGTTGGGCCCTTCTACAGCTATCTCACCATCTTGTCGGGCCCTCTGACAACAGCACTCCCCCTCTCCCCAGGCCCTTGCCCCCCCTTGCCCCCTCCCTCTCTTGTCGAGCGCTCGCCCTCTTGTCACCTTCTCAGGCACGTTGATGCCTCCCAGTCCCCCCCCCCTTCCAGAACCTGCCTCACAGCCCCTCTCACCTTCCCATGCAAATACTAAAAAAAAAAAAAAACATTTCCCAATTTTCCATCTTGTCTCCACATTTTATTTCTCCTTTTCGCCATGTTCTGTCTTTTCAAGCCCTGCTTTCATTCAGAACAAAAATCATGTCTCACAAATATGGTGTTTTAAACGTAAGAATGCTAACACGTAATAAATTAACATGCTTTTGAACAAGTGGTGATGTTTGAGAGCAGTCAGCTGGCAGCTTTCATGCTGCAGTCAAAGCAAAAGGTGGTGATGGGCTGATCTCACTTTTTACTGTGTGTTCATCCTTAAAAAAGTTACAGCTCAATTCCCCAGCAGTAAAAGCATCTCCAGTGCTTTAGTGTATTCAAGTCAAATACTTGCACAGGAATTTGGGAAAAAGAAAAAAAAAAATCATCAAGAGACAAATAGCCAGACGTAGTGGTGGGCGATATGTCGATATTTTATCATAACCGGTTATGACTGCATCCATGATACACAGCACTAGATTTACTTACAAACATACGTGCATAAGTGCAGCCAAGTCGAGCTTCCAATGAATGCCCAGCTACGGGTACACTACAAACAAACAATATTACAATAACAATAAAAACAAACCAGCAAGTGTCTGTCACATGATGGACATGTGTTTGGACAAAAATACAGATGCAAAACAAAGCAATTTCAGTCTGTATAACATCTCAGTGCTGTTTGTATATCTTACTTCTTTGTCAATTCTGTCTCAGTGGGTCTCAACTTAGTGACTAGATCTTGAACCATAACTTTAATTGGTTAATTGTTATTACTACATACATCCCCAGAAAGTCATTTATATCGTGATTTGTGATAACCAAAATATCACAACATTTTGGCCTTATCACCCACCCCTAGCTGGACCTGCTATCCATTTAGGGGGGTTTCACTCTGCTGGAACTTTTTTTTTTCCAGGAACCAGAACCTTTTCCCCAGAACCAGAAACTTTTGTTATGTTCACACTGCAGTAACTCAGCCCGACTAGTTCCTCGGAGGCTGTTCCACACCCCTTTTTAGTCCTTACTCCAGACTAGGGGTGTTTCTCAATATGTGTACCCATTTTACATCACCTTTCATGGCTGAAGACCAGTTCCAGTATTAAGAACAGAAGTACAGAGGATAGTAAAAATCCCCCGATGTCATTCTTGCCCCACCCCAAATATCAAGGATTCATCCAATCATATATATTGGATACATTGGTTGCATCCTCACTAAACGAGAGCAATCACATGATTCACTGCACCCCAAGTTCGTTCGCAAGTTAGCAAGACCGGTCTTACAAAGACCACAAGAACGTATGAAATTATGTATGAAGAGCTTTTTGTCTCTCCCATGTTCATTTGCATAAAGGTCCCAGTTCCTGATGTGCGATGTGAAAGCAACACATGAAAGTGACCAGGAGCTACAAAAGTCCCCGGTCAAGATGTCCCAGGAACTTGCAACCCAGAACGAGGTTCTGGAACTTCAGTGTGAAAGTTCCCTTACGTCCACAAGGAAGGAATCTACTGTCAGGGATGTTAACTGGACCCAGTATGTGTTTCTTATTGCACCCTGGCTAATCCAAAAAGCCCAGAATAAACCCCTACTTCCACACACATTTCATTAAGCTTGTTCCTACAGCTGAAAGATATACAAGATTCCTCCAACAGAAATCAAGTAGAAGCATTAGGTTCCATGCTGCAATACAAGGCATCCAGCTACCACCATGCAGTTGGTGAGTTATGTTTCCCAACTCACCGAGAACAAAGATGAGGGTCACAGGGTTACGTCATTCAGTAGTATAGAAATATCTGGAAAGAGGATCCTCCAAAGACTGGCGATAAGATTTCCTCACATGCTAGATATTTGCAGAGAGGCGGGTAGAAGCCTGGAGCTCCCAGCACTAACAATGAGTTTGTGCAAGTCTGTGCATCGCCTCCCCCTGACTACACCGCAGAAATTCCAGCATGCGAGTCTGAGGACAGAAATTCAGCTACTGTGCCTGAACAAGTGAATCTTTATCTGCCAGGCACATATTATCATATAGGTAGCAATATAACATGCCCCCCCCCCACACCTCTCATGTCAGCCCTGCAGTCTGACCACATTAAGGACTAAATATCTCAGACCTGCAGAAGTTGAGAATGACGCAGACACCCACAGGCGCAGTCACACAAAGGCACAGACTGTCAAACTCGACTTCAGGGTTCAGATGTGAGACACGGTGATGACGCTGCCTCCTGTCCGCTCCAATGTCATCATGTAATGCTGCAGCCACACTTCCTCTAAGAGAACACCCATCACCTAACCACCTCTCCAGGTCAAAGTTGCAGGGTATGGAAAAAAAATGAACAAATTGAGCCCAACAATGAACCCATACTTTAAAGATCAGCCTGAATATAATGAACCTGACAACAACCAAGAGCAGCTGGGTCCTGGCCGCTGCCTGCCTTGGTAAGTTTTCTTCCTGGCGTCACTCTACCTGATGCAGGTCTCAGCTTGTGAGCGCCGCCCTGCAGGCTCGGCAGGAACGTGGGCGGCCCTGACTTTGCTCCGCCCCGCCCCGCCCCTGCTCACCAAATCAGACCGGGCATCCCGGTAGACGTCCTGCGGGATCCAATAAAATTCACACCAACACTCCAAGTGTCATGTTGTGCTTCATTTCAGCATTAAACTGACATATTTTGTGAAAACAGAAGGATAAAGTGACATTTTTGGAAGCTATCCTCCTTTGTTGGGGTTCCCCCAATCACTTTGCCTTTGGCCAAAACAAGATTACAAATATTTTCTATGCAATAAGTAGGTAGACAAAGGTATCAGCTATAAAGGCTAATTTATATTTCTGTGTAGAATTTACTCCGTCAGTAACCACGTACCCTACACGGCAGCCTACACCATGACCAGATGCATGTAGTTACATTTCTGGGGAGGTGTGTGTCAGGATACCACATAGGGTTTCAAACAGGTTCAAACAGGTTTTGTACTTAATTCACACAATTTGTACTTAATTCATAGAAAATTCCAACCTGCTGATCACTATTGCTACAAAAATCCTGCAAATTACAGTAGGCCCTATATTTGATTGCACCGCAATTACAATATAATCAGCATAAATAGGCTTCAACGTTGATGTTAATGCAACGAAACAGGATAACGATGACTGGGATAAAACATAAACACGTGTTACGAAATGCACCATGATAACACTTGAAGAAGCTCTTCAAGCACTTTTCTCATCCTTGAGTTTTGATAGTACTGATGAGGCAGCGTCACTTTCCGGACACAGAGTGAGAGTGTGATCAAAACCGCATTACTACACACTAAACTGCCCAAAATACACTGACTACAGCCACGACCTTCACATCAATTCGGATAGTTAGCCTAAAGGCTAAGTCACGCTCAATGTCTAGAGGCTGCTCAAACAAGTTCATTCTGTGCCAGTTTTATGGAGGACAGCGGTCGGAAGAAGTTGCTTGGTCTCCGACTGAGCGAGTCGGTGCAAGTACAGCTGATAACGATAACTACATAGCTGCCGTCCTTCCAGCTCCATTTCCTGACGGAACACTGCCACGTTTTTCTGAGTGGCAGTAGAACTCACGGACGATATTCCTTAGAAGTAGCTGTAAAGTTGCAGAGCTAAAATCTAATCCAGAGCTTTAGCGCTCGAGCAAAACCAGGCATATAAGAAATAAGGCAACAGTCTCTCTGATGCATAACAATCCAGAAAACCATACCAGTACAACTCAACAGGTCTACTTTTCTACATAAGCACTGAACAGTGAGGTATTATTGTAGCCTATTGAGAAAAACCGCTGCAATCATGTAGCATTTTACAAGTAATGTGTAAACAAAAAGGTTGTGGTTTTGACTCGAAATTCACATATGTAGCCATTTAAGTTGTTGTGTAATGACATAAATGAAACGGTATAGTAACCATAATTCAAATCATTAACCAGCTCACATCTATAACCTTCAACTAGCAATATGAAGGGGTTACTAATACAGAACTTAATCTAACCTGACGTTCACCTGTATGAGCGTACTCTCACACACGAGGCTCAGTTCCAGGCCAGCTATTTACATGCAACCAAAAAAAAAAAAAGGTATTTTCTTGGTTCTGATAGAAAATATGCTATATTGGCTTCCGACAGCTAAACCGTGCGATCGCAAGGTGTTCATGCCGCAACTGGTTCGGAATTCTGTTTACCCGGCCGAAGTGCGCCTCGCTGTTCCGGGTACGGCCCTGAACAATCCGCGGGGTGGGTGAGCAGAAAGAGCCAGGTATGCAACAGGAGTTAAATGTTTCATAACATTTCAGAGAGGAAATCCGAAGTTACTTTTGCAGATCTTTCAAATGGGTTTTGCGCTATTTTGCATTACCAGTCTCAATACGGTGACCGTTTTTGGAAAAGAGTTGAATGCACCGCTCCAAAAATTTGATAAATTAATACACAAGCAGCCAAACTAATTCCCTTCTTTCAGTTCGCAATGATTCTGAGACCAGTGGAAGTTACACCATTTAAAATTTTTTGAAAATGATTGCATTTCTGACGCCACAGAACTGTCAGATGGCAAAAGTTGACAAACAAATTCGGCGCAATTGTGCATATACTACTCCTCATCAAATCGTTATATTTATTTAGCAGATACCCATAACAAATACAGTGCATAATATCCAGGCAAACAGTCGCACTGGTGTCAACTGAAATCATTCAAATATTCACAGATCTAACTGAGACACATGAAACCCATATTACACTATTTATGCTGCCGGGAATCTAATACGTCCTACAACTATCGACGACCATCAGCGATAACAAGCATAGACACCCAATATTTCGTTCCGCGTAATGAAAAGCGGTAAACAGCAATCACGGGCTTTTCAGACGGGCACCCCTTTACCTCATTGTTAGGCGAGAGTGCGACTCGTCTCTTCACTTCCTTTTTCTTTTCAGATCTGAAGCTGAATTGAAAAGAGGAAAAAACAAACAGATAAAATTTTAAAACCGCGTGAAACAGTGTTCTGTAAGTGTGTCTATGCTGATCGGAGCGAACAACAGCGACAAGAACCGAAAAGCTACAGCAACAGACCTGGCCGATTTCCTGGTTTAGAAGAGCGGGGGACGGAAAAGTGGATACAGTAGCTTGTCAACTGCAATCAGTATCCCAGACTCATCTAAACAGCCCGACCGAGGGCCCCGGTGAACGGGTCACTGCTGCTTTTAAAACTAATGAATACCCTTCCTGTGCCACTTGTTCTGCGGTCACCCACTATTAGACGCCTTCAATCTTGCGAACCGAAAAACGCATTGGTCGGTTTTTCTGTTTAATTTTACTCGCGTCCAAAGCCCTGCACGTTTGCTATTGCTAGCAATAAGCTTTCATTCCTCCCCCTTTCCCCTCCTCCCTCCCCCGAAATACAAATCCACCCCGCCTTTCAGTGGCAACTCAGCGCCAAGTCTACCATCCGGGTTTAAAAGAATATACTGTATAAAATGGGTTTACAATATATTCTGTATCGATACGCTGGGGATGCACTAGTTGCATATTAGTGTTCAAGCAACAGGGCTAAGAACGTTGTATTTATTCCTAATAATAGTTCGGTCACTGTTCTCTTGACATCGCCTCTCATTCACCGAATTGGTATTTTTGATCTTTTTTTTGTGGAGGTACCAAGCACTGATTAAGTTCTCAATTAGTTATGCTACGTTAATGCTTAATGTTAAATCGTATGACACAAGCCTAATTAAAGAACTCATACATACACATAAGGGGCAGATCGGACACTGAGCAATTACATTTAACAGTGAAATTTGATGAATACGTGTACATCTATTCATAAACATTTGAACTTTGTGAAAATTTTACTAACATGCATTAATGAGCTTGTTCTCTCTCTCTCTCTTTCTCCTTTTTGTGTTTTCTGTCATAACGTTGATACTGTGGTACATGCTTTTTCTGATTGCCCTAGACTGCTCCCACTCTTCCAGCTCCTGAGTCGAGTTCTGAGAGGTTTCAACCTGTGTTTTAACGTGATTATGTTTGCCTTCGGCTGTAAATACTCTAAGACTCACCGCTCTAAGTGCGTCTTGGTTAATTTTTTAGTGGGGCAG